GGCATCTCTTATCAGAAGTCGAGATGAATAGCGTCCAGCCGCGGTTTATTTGACTTTTTTTTTCATCTGATCCTAAGACTTTTCTACCAAAGCAAAGAGCATGTAGGGAGCAACCTCGATTTCAAGTTACTGCTTCTTGCTTGGAACCTATTGCTAAACGTTACATCATCAAGCTACTGGTGTCTTGATCTAACTACTTAGCATTATCTTTACAACAATACAATCGAAAAGTGTGCACAACTGCAGAGCAGTGCTTCTTGATTTCAGCCATGCCATGGGAGACGAGGTTGGAGAAAGCGCGGGAGATGATCTCAACCAGCCTCCCTGATGCCAATTACGCTGTACTTAAGTACCTCATGTGTCTTCTTACCGAGGTAAGCTACCATCTAGAGTAGTTTCGAATAAATAACTACAGGCAACGAAGATGATTTAGAGTTTGGCCTCCATTTGGAGGCCGTTCTTAAGGTGAGGAAATATCATCCACGCGATGGTTTACTGCCGCGATACTGATGTGTATGGCGGTGGGTAGTGCCTACTAGAGAATAGCCAAATGACAGTGTAGTCTCGTACTACCCACACCCAAGATCGCAGTTGCCGAAAACTGGCATAATCCAAGGCGTACTCCTTCCCTGATAGGTGTGTGCGCACTCCACCCAGAACCACATGACCGACGTGAACCTGGGTATCGTGTTCGGCCCGAACCTACTATGGTCGCGCTACGCTACCATATCCTCCTTCACGGAAGTAGGTCAAATCACCTCCTTTGCGCAGCTCCTCATCGCCAACTACGACGACATATTCATCAAATGAGGGAGTACCTCCCCGTCTTTCGTGTCTTTCCATCGGTTTGGTCTACGCCCCCCTCCTCCTTGTCCGTTTACATCGTGTATATTCAACTACTGACCTTTCATTGAGATTTACTTTCTTTAACGGCCATCCCTCTTCTGCAAATAGCCGATTTAACGTTCCAAAAAGGGCAAAATACGTCGCACAAGACAAACAACGATAGACTACTTGGGTACTTATTTGAACCTTCCGGAGAAGGTAAGGTAAAAATGCTAAACGATCGACTACCACTCCAACAGGAGGAGAACAAAGTCTGAGATCTTGTAGCTCCAATTAGTACCCAAGACCGAAATTCCAAAAGAAAAAAAACAAATAGGCGGTTCAGTTACTTTTAATTGGCACTGACTGAAAGCAGGGATAGGAATCTCGTGTTCTGTACTAGAAATCGTCGTCCGAGTCGATGGCGGCTCTTCGTCGATCGAACTACATAGGATAATGACTCGTGCTTCTATCATCGTACCTTGACTTCAGGTGGTTTCTTGGTATGGGATGCGATATCGTTCAGCATGTTCCTTAGCTGTTCGTCCGTAATCTGGTAAGAAGTGAATTATTTTCAAAGAATGACGTCGAGCTCTGAATGCTGCTAGACTTTTGACCACAAAACAGCGACGTTACTGAGTATAAAGCTGAACTGCTGAAAATACTACGTAGAGCAAGGGTGATGGAATTCGGCAAGAAAGATTTCAAAAAGGCCATGCAAATACGCCACTAGACAAGTACTGTCAAAAGATGTACCGCATCATCCCGCCCACCCCCTACAGCTTGTACAGTTTGATTCAACACTCCAGCATTTTGAGAATGGATCAAACAAGTGAGCCTATTTGTCCTCGTACGTATTTTTGATGTCAAAATTGAGCATTAATCTTATGTTTGATCGAGTGGCTAGTCTTCTCTCCGTTGCAGTATCTGATCAACCAGAGTTCTGCCACAAAATCTCATACACAGATCAAAACTTTGCCTCAAGTCGTACAGTCTTAGTTATAATCAGGTTCAATAAGCGAAAGACTTCACCCAGAACTACAGGTGAGGCTCAACCTAGAGTAATTTGTAATAGGTAGTCTGCGAAGGTTCTAGTACCAGAAGAGCAAAAAAGAAACCATATTTTGAAATACGGAAGGTAAGGGCAATAAGCAATGAGGCATAAAATACCTGACCACTCATGCCACGTGTTCGCGCCATATTCACCAGCATATTTTCAACAGCCTTCGCCTTATCTGGTTTGGTCATAGCAAGCGTATTGACTGCAAAATACAAAAGAGTAAAAAAACGTACGACGCGCCCTGGCTTGTTGATCAAGAATTTGGCTGAGAAAATCATTTTTCATTTCTTTATTACGCCTTTCGATTTCTTCTTTTTGCGCCTGCTGCTGGGCGACCTAGATGCTTCTGTCAATAACAAATCACATGAACCTCAGCATCTCCATCTCTCGGCAACATATCTCAACCGAAGATTAGGCTAAAAGGATACGAGTGCTGATTCACTTGAGCTGCCACCAATGATCTTTGCAGCGCGAAAAAATTAAAGTAAATTCTAAAGAAGTTTTTGCTGAAAATCTTTATAGTCTGATCTGACCATTGATATACCTGCATTTTTACTTCTTCTCTTCATGACACCACTTATTTCAATTGTCAAAAAAAGATTTCGTTACTGCGTTTAGTGGAAATGCTGTCATTCGAACTCTGATACTGCATCTCTCTATTTAGTAGATCTTAATTAACTGAATTTAATGATCCAAATAAGTCACCTACCCAAGGCAAAACTTGAGGTGTTTGATCACACAAAAAAGCGCGTATTAGATACCAGGTTTGACTTGGTGATCCAAAAACTTGAACCGCTTAATTAATATTAAGATAGTATATATGATTTGTTTTTTAGCAAGCTATAGGACAGTAGCAACTTTCCAAATTCTACCTAAACCATTTTGGGTGGTAGTCATCATGTATCGCGTGCGCAGAAGGAATCGAGTAATATCATTACAGCGCTCCAAGAAGATATCACGTTGGGTTAACTGTATGCATTCTAGCTGAATAAGAAGAAATTGAGTCTTGGCTTGGTCCGAAGGCTGGTCCACGCGTAAAGACAGAACGAATCTCAAAGTCCACTCTAGACGTCAAATTGTCACATTAAACAAAGTATTACATTAAGTTACGTCAACTTTATGTGTAGAACACCATTGGTAAACACATGCAATGATAACTGCAGTAGATTTTAGGAGCAGCAAAAGGGAATTTGCTTTGTAAATGCTACAGCACAATAATCAAACTACGCAAGTTGTTAAGGTACTCCTGTTCTTAAAAAGTTTTTTAGAAACTGGGATTCCAGTATTCACTTATGCATTTTGCAAAAACCACCTACTGCAAGATTTGTGGTCTTAACGCTTGTTTTACCGAACTCAGTTTTGAACAAGACGTTAGCAGCTGAGCTATTCTAAAAGCCATGTTAAAGAGGAAAACAAAGGCTTATGACAGCTGTATGAGTGTTATAAACTTAAGTTACTTACACGTTTTATCCCACTTAACAGGATCCGATTAACTGACCTGCATTCAATGCGTTATTCCACTTCTTCTTAACGCTGTTAGTATTCCCAATAATTTTCGCTGTTCACCTGCCATTTTCTTTGGTGCTAAAATTTTTGTGCTGAGGGTAGCTTGAATCTTGGTTTTGTGGCTGGGCAATAGTTTGCTCCATGCGTGTGAGCGATTCAGTACGAACTAGGAAGGGACCGAAGTGAAACTATGGGCCGTGTTCAAGCGGTTCCAGAAGCAACGGCTTAACCTTATTACCCTTTGATTTCATTGCGAGTCCTGCGATTTCATAGCACAAATGTCAAACCTTAGGGCTTTTGTTTCACAAACTTTTATTTAGACAGAAGTTATCGCTATCCCCATTAATTTTTTCAGCCCTCGGTTTTTGGTAGTGGTCACTGCAGAGCCTGCCTGTCTACCCTCAAGCCCCTGAACTTGGGATTTTAGGAGGGGATTAGTTGGGAAAGCTTTATTAGGCATAATGTACAGAACGAAAGGGAATGGGGGGAAAGGGGGAGGCTGATGAGACGGAAAACTGATGTCAACCTGAGAACGCTTTTTCACGCTCCTCACGAACTGGAATCGTGTTCGAATTGCTTTCCAGACTCTTCCATATAAAGGAAAACCTAAACACATTATTATGTAATACAGTCACCTTTAAATGGTTAACAGTCCTCCGTGTCCTTCCCCACATTTCAGGGCCCCAAATGCCAGCGTCACACAAGGAAGATGAGACGACATCGCCCATTAATCAAGCTCAAGTTCTGTGCAAGAAAATAAAGCACCAGCCTACAGAGAATCTAAAGGTTTACCAGCACAATTCGAAAACCACGTCGCAGAGTACGGGCAACTTTATAGGGACTTATGTGACCGTTCAGATCCCACTAGAGCTCGTCATGATGTATTTCTTGTTCAATCGAAATTTGATAAGATGAGGAATTGGAATAAACGTCTTCAAACTTATTTTGTCTGTAGTAGTTTTCAGTCACCTATGCTATTAGACACATGAAATGATGAACATCAGTTGTATTCTTTATTTGTATATTTTGTATATTTTAGGAGCAGAAGCAAACGGCATTACCACTCAAATCGAGATAAGCAGTGCATTAAGAATTCGATGCTTTTGCACAGTTGTGCGTGCCCACCTTGGGAAGTGAAATACCGATCTTCGATGCAGGTACTGCAAGCCTCACCGTGCTTTGAGCAGCTCCATCAACTAGCCAGTTTATGCCTAACAGCAAAATGTCGGCATCATATTTCCTCGCAGAGTTCGGGCATATTGTGGCAGAGTACAAACCATTC